TTAGTGTCGGTTTCTGTGTGATGCCTCTGCTATACTTAAAACTGAAGTAGACAAAAAAAAAAAAGAGCATCAACCCGAGAACCACACACATAACACATGATATGAAGCAGATCGCCTCTGTGTTTCCACAATATGCCACGTCCATTTGTGATAAATACAAACAAACATATGGCTTGGCAGACCACAAAAATCACATATTTATTTACATATATTTATAATCACACAGGGACAAGAAAAAACAGCAGAGATCTTGTTCTCATGAGACTTTCACGTAATCAGCCACAATGGTGATTCCATTCATAATTTCACAGTTATTGCTGCCACGTGAGAATTGATTTGCAAGGCTTGGGGGAAGGAAAAGACACAAACTAACTAATTTTCCCCAGATCATTACTTCCTCACCATACATTCGACATGTCAAGATGTGTACATTGAGTCACCAATCAAAATGACAGACAATTAATACACCATTCCGACAAATCATGTCATGACCGTGAAAGGCGAAGCTGTAATTATGGGAAATGCGTCCAATTATTATGACTCGTGAATCAAAATAATTAGCACATAAGTCCCTGCTGCAATCATGACAAAGAGCGTCAATTGTGACCTCTTCTGCACCGTTCAGAAGAGAGGGAGACTGAACGTGAGACACGAGCAGATGGAGAGAGAATGGACAGAGCAGAAGCAACATAATAATGGAGAGTCCGAATGAAATCAAACAAAAGTCAGCCCACTGAAGTTGGAATACCTTTGTGAAAGAAAACACTTGAGTGATTCACTTTGAAAACTGAATAGCATTGTACATCAAATGAATGCAATGAAAGACTAGCTTCACCATTCTGTTTGGATGAATTTAGCGCTGCTGCGGCATCATCGTCATGCTGAGGGTGTGAGACCGTACTGAGCTCAGAGATAACATCGCTTATGAAAGATTAGAGCATAACACCTGAGCTCTCGTTCCCACACCCTTTATAACACCTCTCACATTCCTACTGCTCTCGTTGACTGTAGTCATATCAGCCAGCCTCACCTCCAATGTGCCCCAGCTGTGGACACTTTGAGTGTCATGCACACAAAATGTGTTGCCTTTTCACATACCTCATGAATATGTCTTCTGACTGCGTTTTGACACATGTTCCTGTAATTTTAACGGTAGAGGATAGCACAAGGTCACGGGTTCAATTCATAAATGCAACATATGTCGCTTTGGATAAAACCATCTGCCAAATGTGAACAATTGATTGCTTTTGCATTCTGGCATTGTAATTGTATTCACTTAAGCATGGAAATGTAGCTAAAGTTAATTTGTTTAATTAAGGGGTAACTAAGGGGCATACTCATACCTTTGACTAAACAGCACAAGGTCTGGTCTATACGCTCCATGTTAAGCCACCTTTTCACTATTTCCGACAAATGACAAACCGGAAGTCATTCATTTCCAAAGATTAGTTAACATAATTATTACATTCCATAATTATTTAAATTGGCAGTCTTAGAAAACAAACTATGCTTTTCTTTCAGATGTGTTGGCGATCATTTGTTTTTTTGTGGATATATTCATACATTCATTAATTTTACCATGGTAAATAAGCAGAGCGCATGAAAAATGTGAAAGTTGCATGTGACTGCCACTAGAAAAGTGATTATTCGAAGATAGTTGAACATGTAAAACGACCAACCACAGTTTGCAGGTTTACCTGAAATATTTGCCTGGTTATACCACAATAACATAAAAGAGTAAAAAATGATTATGTGGATACATCAACAAACAGAAAACACTGGAAAAATGGTGGAAAATGTGTATAGACTGCCTCTGTGATCATATTTTCTGTCCCTCCAAAAGCAAAAAGGACACGCTATATTATTACAGACATAACTCCGAAAACAAAGCAAAATATACAGTTTCACTTGTGGATATCTTGTTAACTTCAAAACTCTCGAATATCTTTTTAAAGTTTTTGCAAATCCAGTGATTATTTCATCCTTGAAAGTAAACATGACCTTGTTTCAACATAGACTGAAAAAAAAAACGTGTGCCCTTATTTGTTGAAGTAGCATAAAGTCAGCCAATCAGATTAGAGCTTGCCAGAATGAGGAAATGAGCATGAGTGTGCAATCTGAGGCTGAGAGACTAAGGTTAGGCTCACACCTGTGTTCATTTTATACTACAAACACAGACCTCTTAGAAGAGACATCAATGAAAATGAAATGCTGTGTTTATTTCAGATCATGTTTCTTAAAGAAGTGAATGTAATCTTGCCTATATTGTGCTTCAAGACAATGTGTTCATAACTAATTAGTCATTTAGCTGACACATTTCATAAAAAACTTCTGGTATATTTTTGTTACATGGACCATCCCCTCGAGCAACCTTGGGTTAAGTGTCTTGCTCAAGTGTACAATAGTGATGGTGATAGTTCATGGATCACTCCTTGCACAATCTTTCTCTTACTAGCCAATCTCTACACTACACCAAATTATCAGCTGACATGACTAATATTATGAAGGAAAGAATGTGTAACTTGTGGTGAGTCAGCAGGCACTACATTTATACTATATCAGAGGGGAGGCAATTTGATTAAGCATAGACATGTAAGTCTTTCAGGAAGAGGTCACCTTAAAGATTCAAATTCAACAGTCAAAAAACAGCACAAAGCACAGTATCACTTAATAACATAACATCCATTTAAGCCCCATAAGAACACTGTAAACAGCCAATGCATGCCTAGATCTACTGTTAATCAGGCTACAAAAAATGAGTCAGTTGATCCAGTAGATTCATTCTAAAATACCACCACCAATACATCTGCACCATTACTAAACTGAAACATAATTTGATCATATATACACTACAGTTCAAAAGATTTTCAAATTAATATTTTCATTCGGCGTGGATGCATGCACTTGATCAAGTGACAGACTTTTGTTAAGACTTTCACATGGCTACAAAATATTTCTATTTGACAAATTCTGTATTTTCTTTTTTAAAGGGGTCATATGATGCGATTTCAAGTTTTCCTTTCTCTTTGGAGTGTTACAAGCTGATTGTGCATAGATAAGATCCCTGAAGTTGCAAAGACTAAAGAGATATTCTTTATCAAAGTTAAGACTCTGCCACGCCCCCCTAAAACGGCTCGTTCTAACACACCCCACGAATAATGATCTTTAAAAAAGCATCATATGACCCCTTTAAGTTTTTAATTCATCAAAGCATCCTCGATTTTTTTCCCCAAGGTTCCACAAAAATATTATGCAGCACAACTGTTCACCATTGATGATAATAAAAATGTTTCTTGAGCATCAAATCAGCATATTAGAATGATTTCTGAAGGATCGTGTGGCACTGAAAATTCAGCTTTGCCATCAAAGAAATAAACTACACTTTAAAATACAGAAAAATAATTATTTTCAATTGTAATCATGTTTCACACTATTACTGTTTTTACTGTATTTTTGATCAAATGGAGCCTTTAAATTAAAACATAGAATGGTAATTTAACATCACCACATGTGGCTTAAAGTGTATTTCACCAAAAAAAAACAGAAAACATTTGCAATATTGAACAATTTGTTCTCATTAAACATAAGAAATCATTAACAAAACCAAATTAAGCAATTAGATGAATTTATTACATGTCTCCTCACATTCAAACAAACAAGCAAGCACAGCTAGGCTTAATTCCCCACCAAAGAATATATCACCTGCACTCACGTCATTTTGAGAGCATCTGATAGGTGTTTGAATAAAATTATACAGTAGCAGTGTATAACAGTATGAGCATTTCTGCTCAGGGATATTCCATCTAATACATTAATAAATCCATGGCTCTTTTATTTTTAGTAAAATTCTTTTCAGATGAACTTCAGACATAAAGATAATTTGCTGTGAGGCAGTTGCTCAATGAACGATGAACAATAATATAGTTGCAGTTATGCCGCTGCATCCGTGTAGGAAGCTCGGAGGAAGAGAGCAAGTGAGGATATTCATTTCATTTGCTTAACCTGGATGTCCGTGTCTCCTCCCACAAGCAATTAACAGAGTCTCTAAACAAGTGCCATTACCTTGTTTCTAAATTCCTTTTGAGATCCAGACAAGCAATGTATGAACTGACTGAATGAATCATTTCTCTTGCTTACAGCTTGCTATAGGTTTTGTTTGATGACTATGCATGAAGGGAACAACAAATGATCACAGTCTGTCTCTTGCACTCGGTCTCATCTGTATTTAAGGTAGAGGATTCTCCTTCCATGAAAGTTTCAGTCCCAGTTGGGACCGATGAAAGGGAGAGTTAATTATCACAGCTTTAAGGACAATCCAAAACCCTGTGTGTAAGTTTGATTCAACATTAATATGGAATCTAACAATTCAGATTTTTTATGTTTTTCAAAGAAGTCCCTTATGCTCGCCAAGGCTGCATTTATATGTTCAAAAATACAGTAGTATTGTGAAATATTATTCAATTTAAAATATCTGTTTTCTATTTTAATATATTTTACATTTTAATTTATTCCTTCGATGGCAAAGCTGAATTTTCTGCAGCTGTTAGAAATCATTCTAATTTGCTAGTTTGGTGCTCAAGAAACATTTAAAGTGTATATAAATAAAAGCATTAATAATTTTATTTAACTTTAGTGTTTATTAGGGCTGTGCGATATTGAAGAAAAATGCGATAACTCATTAAATAATGCGATAATTGCACAGCCCTATTGTTTATATTATATTACATTATATTATATTATTTGATCTCAGGTCACAAAATTAATTCGCTGAGCCAGATCCAACTGACTGCATGCTGATGGCAGATTTCTATGCAGGACTTAAATGTAAATTACTTCAAAAATGTTGTTGTTTCTTTATTAAATATCACTATTGGTATCCACTGCTTGAAAAAGACATCAGTCATCTGTGCCAAAAATGGTTAAAAATGAGTACTATTGCATCACTGCACTAGGGTGAAAGTAAGCACGCTGCAAACAGATGTTGCCTGACTCATCTGATGTCACTGTCTGTTAAAAAGCCACACTAATGTAACCACGAACAGGACCTTAACCGCACTGACCATAAAACAATCTACATGTCAACAATACACAAACCAACTTCTAATTATGTTTTAACGGCAAAAACATCCATCACTGATGTAGGTAGAAAAACTCATTTACTGGCGTCGTGAGGATACAGGTTTGCCATAGACAGCATTGATCAGGGAATGAAGGGTCACTTCACTCCACTTTGTTTGTCTGCTGCAGTATGACTGTTTTAAAAGCTGTATTGGTCTAGTGGGAAAGAACAAGTGTGCCTGGAAAAGTATCATGACTAACACAACGTCAAAACAAACTAAAACAATCCATGTCTCGATCATATTCCACTATTTATCAGTTTCAAAACCATGCAGAGGCCTCTTCTCGCTTTGATAAAATTTGTCATTTATGTCTGAAGCTTTACAGCCACAGGACTCCTTATTTTTTACAGTTTACTCCTCTTAATTATACAGAGAATAAAGGAGATAATCACAGTCAGGGGTCCGCTCTTTAATAATTGCAAAAAAGCCATCCGGTGGGGTTTCTTTTCCTTTATTGTTGTCTGAAACGCTCTCAGTTCTTGTATAGATTGTGGGAAATGGTGTTGGTACAGCAATGCTGACACAGGACTCTACAGAGTATTACATAATTATGATCCCAGGAGACACAATCTGCTTAAACAGAATTCTCCAAACGAGAGCGATACAACCTGAGCCCTGACCAGGTGCTTTCTTTCATTAAAACAATTCTGTGTGGTCATAGGCCAAGAAAACGATGGAGGCACATCTTAGGCTTTCTGCAAGCACACAAGCATGCTGCTCAAGGTTTCTGTGCCAAAGCCAGACACTGCCATCACTAGCTTGCACTCTGTGATTTTTAACTGCTATCTCATTCATTCCTTTTTTTTTATTATTGTAAAACACACACTGAATAAGACCCATATTGTTATTTGTCAAATAAGCAAGTGAAATAACAGTTCAGATAAACTATGCTTATTTTTAGTTAAAAAAAAAAACACTTCTGTTTAAATGCATAAATACAAAATGTAAATGTCAATTTACAGTAAAAAGAGGCAGCTGTAGTTGCCAGAATGTTGGGGCATTTTAGTGACAGTATATTTTACACTTCTGTAATTAAGTGAAGTTATGCTACTATTTTTTAAATAAAAATATAATGCTCCAATTAATTCATATGATGACAAAGTTCACAAAAATTGTAAAATACAGGAGTATTTAATAAATTGCAACATAAATCACCCTACTGTTTGTAACTGAAAACTAAAATAAACTTTTTCTAAAAATGTCAACAAACATTTACATTTGACAGTAAAATTATATGTATTGTCTTCAAATTAGCAAATATATTTTTTCTTACCAAATATAGTAAGTTATCTTACAGTTAACCAGTTAACAGGATTTTACTGCATTTTTACATTCATTGTTTCTGATAAAATCACACTAAAAACTTTTTTTTTTAAATAATTAGCTTGATTATAAAACATTTTTACAGTGTAGGCCTTTATCGTCAGTGTGACAGGTGCATCTTCTTTGAAAATTGCATAATGCTGAAATAGAGGCCTCTTGACAGCAAAAGCTATGTTCCTAAGGTCACGTGATGTGGCTGAAACGCATGGATCAAACATGCACGAGCAGGGCTGTGAAAAGGTCCACGCTGGTGATCAGTGAGATCAGATAAACGGTCAGGGTGAAGTGTGGGAGTTGACAGGGGGAGGCTGGGCGCTGATGCGAGCCGCAGTGCATTCATTAGAGTCCTCCACCGACACCGAAAATGGACGCCTTTCTCTGAAAAAAAAAAGCCCTTCATTCACGCTTCAAAAAGCTGAAGGGACAGGATGTGTCCAAGGAGCCGCAAAAGACTTGCTCTGGAAGTATATTAGCGGTGTTTGTTCCATCGAGCTCCAGATAAGGAGAGTTAATGCTGCACATGCATAATGAATGCGAAGATGCGCTTGCAGATGCACAATGAAGACGATTTCATTTATCATATTTCCCCCCGTTATGTTTGCTTTAACAAACATTTGCAGAGACAACCAAATGCAGGCGAAGAGCTTTGAGAAAATCGACAGCTGAGCTTGCAAGCTTGCAATTTGGCATCGATTGATTCCGCTCTCTGCATTCCACATGGACACACACACATGCAAACGGAAACATCCAAACAGCCCCCAAAAATCGCGAGCACACACGCAGACTACAGAAAAATCTGAGATTATTGCTTACCAGTTTAGTTTGTCTCGTGTTTGAAGACCGTCGCACTCCCAAAGAGGAAGACGAGGAGAGATAATCGCATATCAAGAGGAATGGACTGTAAACGAGTTAGAAAGGAAAAGAACGGAGGGGTTTGCGCGTCTCAAAAAGCGTTTAGAAATGTCGTCAAATTGTAATAATAATAAAAATAAAAAAACAAGTTACAAATGTGAAGATAGGCAGATAGTATATAGCAGATATTCAACGCGCACACGTCCCCGCGTCACTCGAGTACGGATTTGTCTAGAGCGCGTGTAGCCAATGCGTGTACACGACTGCGTCTCCCCCGCCCGCGCCGCAACCCTCCGCTCGCTCTATCCGTCCCTTTCCTTACCCCTGAGTGTGTGAGAGAGAGAAATAGAGAGAGAATGAGTCGTAGGCAACTTGTCGCATACTAAATCCTGACAGACCAGAGGAAATTCGCGCCATTGTGTTTTTAAAATTGAAGCTTTTTCCCAGACCTCCGTCATACACAAAGACCATCTCCTGGGACACTTGGCCCTATGTGAGAGGGTCAGGTTTCGCCTGCATTTTGGGGACCAAATGTTCCCCCAATGACAGTACAATATGAAATACGCTGACATGCACAATGCACAATTTTACAAACTTCACGGCATAAAACTTTTCATTCTTATGGCTTGTGGAAATCTTGCAGTTGCTTTCTCTATTTGTTTGTATTTTTCATAATGATTTAATCAATATATTGTCTTTGACTACAGCAATCAAGAATACAATGAACTGCAAAATGTAGGTGATGAGATACTTTAATGTATCTGTATATTGATTTCATGTTCACTTCTTGTAATACTTTAAATAAATAAATAACTCTCCTCCTAAAGTGTTTCTTCAATAGTTTAACTTTTGACACTGCACTGAAAAAAAAATGGTGTATGGATTTACTTAGAAAAAAAATTCACTCAGAAACTGCTAGCAAACACAGATAACTACAAAGAAACAGCAAGAAACATATACTGAATTACACGTGAAAGTTTTAAGTACAAAGACTGAAATAGTATTTTCTTCTAAAACGTACTCCAGCAATCTCTGTTTTATTTAAAACTCTAATATCACCAAGAATGACCAAAAATTCTGATTTAATCAGGCATAAGCCATCTGCTTATTCAGATTTCTTTAAACCAGAATATTAGCTTAATCCGTTTATGGGGTTAATGCATTTATATGACATTTACATAATTCTAATACAACTTACATGCTGATATTATTCGGAATATGTTTGCAAAAATGTTTAATAAACACACCAAATAACGTCCTGTAAATGTAAAATGTTATAATGCAACAAGGTTTGTGTGAGGCTTAGATTTATGGGATAGAAAATACAATAGCAGTAGATTAAGTCAATGTGAAGTCCCCACCATAATAGAAACACAAATGCTCAACATATTGCCCTCACTGGTTTTTGCAGGAGATGAGAGAAACAGGCATCTTGGAGATGATGTTAGTACCGCACTGCTAATGAAATGCAATGTTATCCAGCCTGAGAAAGAGCACTGAGTTCCGCAGAGGGAGAGAGAGACGGAGAGGGGGGTGAATGGAGGAAAAATTCTGATTTATTCAGGCATAAGCCATCTGCTTATTCAGATTTCTTTAAACCAGAATATTAGCTTAATCCGTTTATGGGGTTAATCCATTTATATGACATTTACATAATTCTAATACAACTTACATGCTGATATTATTCGGAATATGTTTGCAAAAATGTTTAATAAACACACCAAATAACGTCCTGTAAATGTAAAATGTTATAATGCAACAAGGTTTGTGTGAGGCTTAGATTTATGGGATAGAAAATACAATAGCAGTAGATTAAGTCAATGTGAAGTCCCCACCATAATAGAAACACAAATGCTCAACATATTGCCCTCACTGGTTTTTGCAGGAGATGAGAGAAACAGGCATCTTGGAGATGATGTTAGTACCGCACTGCTAATGAAATGCAATGTTATCCAGCCTGAGAAAGAGCACTGAGTTCCGCAGAGGGAGAGAGAGACGGAGAGGGGGGTGAATGGAGGGAGGGAAGTGAAAATGGCAGGCTGAATGCGACAGATGCCTCAGAATTGGCTTAGAGGGCGTGCGAGTATATGTCTTATGCTTTCTGTCGTTTTAAAGATCAATAAACACTCAGAGTGTGTGTGTTTGTGTGTGTGTGTGTGTGTGACTCCCGAGGTCGAGTATAGAGTGAAAGCCTGATGATGGGTAATCATGTGAAAAGGCTAGTCCCAGTTTTGGACCAAGCTAGGGTTTTTTTGGGCCTGTCACTGGTCTGGGCTCTTGTAAGCGCGTGGCGTTGCCAAGATATGTTCCTCATTAAGCAGACTGTCAAATGACCAAACACAGACATCTGCACAGTAGTACAGTGAACTACGACCTTCAAAGGTTTTCTCGACCGATATTCATCTTCATTTCCTCTCTCCACTTCTCTCACTCACACACACGGAACAGGGAATGGCTAATGCTGGGTGACAGCTCTTTCATGCAGTAATGTTGGTGAAAAGAGAGCTATATCCAACTCTTTACTGACACACACGGGCAGACTCCCCCACCCCCTCATATAAGCACACACTAACACACACACACATACTATATTAGCTGTTTGGGATACTATATTTGTAGGATAAGTGCAAACACAAGTCCAACACATTGGCGAAAGGAATTACTGAAATGCGACTGTTATGCTATCCTACTCAAACACAAACAAGCAGAGATAGAAATAGAAAGAGAGAGAGAGAGAGAGAGAGAGAGAGATGGAGAGATAGTTTTGATCAATTGGACTGCACGCTTCCCTGAGGCAATGGAACGATGAACCGCAGAGCAGAGGAGCACTTAACAGTCCCAGTGTAGAAAATACACACGCAAATATACACATTCACATTGCTTTAAATTGTCCTTTAAAGCTTAATGGGGTCATATGACGTTGCTAAAAATAACATTATTTTGTGTATTTGGTGTTATTCCCCTTACCATATTGTGATGCCGTCTCCCGGCACAACGAGACAAAACCAGTAAAACCCATTATAAATTAGGCATTTGTTGCATTCAATAGGGACATTATTACTGATTATAATGACTTATACTGTCTTTTTTATGCGTTGCGTTGCGTATGGCGCTGCTTAAACATAAAACCATGTCTGCATTTGTGACCAGAGAAAGGACAAACAACAAGGGCTACTCTACACTGCTCAAAACTCGCGTTTGAATCCTCAGTGGCAAATTCTTTAAATATGAAAACGTACTTACAGTCTGTGAGTCAGAAGCACTAGACTGTCCTTGCACAGTTGGAATTATAAGAAAACAGACATAGAAACAGAGTAGCATTGTAGGCTACTCTCCCAGGAAACAGTCCTCATCCTCCATAAAATGCGCTGGACACATCTGAATATTTGGGTTGAACTGTTCTGGAACAGTGTTATAAATACAACTTAACCACTGATTTCTAGTGGTGTCCTCTTTTGGACGGCCAAACAAAGTATTTTCGCTTTCGCAACTGAATATTTGGGTTGAACTGTTCTGGAACGTTGTTGTAAATACAACTTAACCACTGATTTCTAGTGGTGTCCTCTTTTGGAAGGCCAAACAAAGTATTTTCGCTTTCGCAATTAAACACACAGCGTCTTCACAACACGGCGGCGGTGATGGCAGCAACAATCTCAGTCGTTAGGCCTTCTTTCTTTGCGTGAACATTTGGGCGGCGTTATGCAAATCTTCTCACATAGTGACGTAGACATGTGGGGGCGTGTTAGAACGAGCCGTTTTAGGTAGGTGTGGCTGACTCTTAACTTTTATAAAGAATATCTCTTTGGATTTGAGACTTTAGTCTTTGCAACTTTACAGATCTTCTTTATGCACCAAGAGCTTTTAACACTCCAAAGAGAAAGGAAAAATTGAAATCGCATCATATGACCCCCTTTAAGTATGTGTTTTTTTGATGTTGAAATTTACTATTACTATTCCATTGGAGTGCAGGGACCACTATGAGGAAGCAATTCGTACCTTATTTCCCGAAAATGTTAACTGTCTTTGTGGTGGGATAAAACATTTCTATGTCAAACAGCCCGACACAGCTACATTGGCTCAACCAAAGCGTCATTTTGGGACGGGTCTGTGTGTTCGACCAATGAAAGACAATGGGTGTGTTCAGGAAATGTGTTTGAAAACGATCATTATTTATGCAATTCCGTTTGTTGCCGCTAGTGGCGTAGAAATGATACACTTCAGCTGATCAATGCATACTGTAATGCTTAAATTTACACTTCAGTTCACACCCCTATTCAACGGACACAGTTACAAACACACAACAAAAACACCAATAACTATAAAGATAACCATAAATATATTAGCATATACACTAATGCCTGTCAAAGTTCTGTTTATTATAAGCGCGTGCTGCAGTTTTGTCTTATAGCGCTTTTAAAGCTCTAGCTCGTTAAAGCAGGATGGATTCTGATTGGCTGCCAATGTTTTCATCATCATTCATCAGCTGGGAAAAATCGTTCTGAAAGGGCTTCCAATTATATCGTTCCTCTGTGTCATTATCGTTAACAAGATTGTTAAACAATCTTTATGGTTATCGCTGCAGGTGTGAATGGGTCTTAATACGCATGTAGTTTCATTAATTAACTAACACGTTAATACACTTTAATACATTAACTAACATTAGCACGAGACTCAAACCGCAACCTTTGGGTTACGAGTCCGACTCTCTAACCATTAGGCCACGACTTCCCCTTCCTGGGTAGGGACGTATCAGATATTAAACTGATAAGAACAGATACTACACTTGATCTTAGCCAAAAGGCCGAGAAGCGAAATCTAACAGTTAACAGAAATCTAACAGAAATCTAACATAGTCTAACAGTTTAAATCTGGTCAACATCTATTTGTATCTGTGATTTGTTATACTCATTCACAATGATGTTGTATGGTTACAGTACGTTTATTTTGCAATAAAACATTATGGAACATTTGACTTTATTTTTGCCGCATGGTCTGCGCTGACAAGCGGCCTTGAACGATTTCAGAACCACGGACAGCGCTTAAGATGCAGTTTCAATAGTCTCTTAACCACTAGAGGGCGCTGTGAACGCTGACCATTTAAAATATGCTGTCAGGCAAGTGTTAATTTTGTGGACCTACAGTTTATGATACATTCAGAAAAGAGTCCCACAAAATAAGAACATTTAAATTATTTTAATTTCGTTTTTTCCCCACTAAATTTGTCAACATTTTGCAGAAAGGCAGTGAACCAAATCACAGCCAAAACACAACAGTACACAATAATTATACAACAAATATTCAATATTTCTGAACTCTTTGGGGAAAAAAAAATCTCTTATGAATCACTCTTATTTTAAATACAAACAATATGTTCAGCATTTTAAATTTGTTCATTAACAAGTAATTCCCTCTTTAGCATTGAATGATAATATTAACACTAAAACTAACAATTCACAGATTCCGTGATGAGAAATAACTTAAAGGGGTCATATGATGCTTTTTTAAAGATCATTATTTGTGGTGTTATATAATGTTTTTTTATATAAACAAAAGAAATGGCAGGTTTATTTAGGTATGTATGCATTTAATCATTTATTTACTTTGGGTATTTGTGGCAAATCAATAAAGCATTTGTGAGAGGTTGGAAATAACATCAGCACACAGAGGAAATATTGTTCTGGTTCTGTTTATGTGACTACACTTCTTAAAACGAAGAAAAACTTGACGTGAATTTTACAGCAGTCCCTCTTTGCTCTTGCTCTAATATTCTCTCTCACACACACACTGACAAACTAATGTTTCCTTGGTGACCATAATAGTAAAAGGATCCTG